CTCCTCCCCAAAGCCAGACTAAATATTTTTGAATTAAAGTAAAAACACAGTTGCAATGTAAATTGAGCTTCAAAAACACAAATTGTTACCCTTAAGTACTTGTGTGTAAAAATTCTGGAGCCCTTCTTCCCAAGCACTAACCTGATTATGTTTATTATCTCTGAACTCTTAGACCCAGAGAGTACTGTACTATGTTGTTGTTAAGAGCCATCGGTCAGTTCTCACTCATAGTGACCCCATGTACAAGAGAACTAAACACTGCCTGGTCCTGCACCATCCTCCCAATTGTTGCTATGTTTGAGACAATGGTTGCAGCCATTGTGTCACTCCATCTCACTGAGGGTTGTCTTTTTCTCTGACCTTCTACTTTGCCAAGCATGATATCCTTCTCCAGGGACTGGTCCCTCTTGATAACATGTTCAAAGTATGTGAGATGAAGTCTCACTATGCTCTCTTCTCAGGAGTATTCTGGCTATGAGCACTGTTTTAAACTATCTAACTATTTTTAACTACACAGTACTCTTGTAATTTTTTCTTGAGAGCTGAAATTGTCTTGTTCAACTGTGTTTCCCTAACACATAGCACAGAGTCCGGCCATAAGCACTCAACAATTATTTCACTGGATGGGTACATTGGTGGTTCAGTAGTAGAATTCTAGCAGAAGACTCAGTTCGAGTCTCCTGGCCAGTACAGGTTGCTCAGTCATCACCTGTCTGTCAGTGGAGGCTTGTTTGTTGCCCTGATTCTGAACAGGTTTCACTGGACCTTCGAGACTAAGATAGATTAGGAAGAAAGGCCTGATGATCTACTTCTGAAAATCAGGCACTGAAAACCCTCTGATCAGATCACAATGGTCTGATCTCCCACTGATCATTAGGATGGCCCAGGACAGACAGGGGTTTTGTTTTACTGTTATGGGGTCATCATGGGTCTGGGGCCAACTCTATGGCAGCTAACAACAACAATCCTTTAACTTCACCTCTATAAATGAACTAATAAATTTCGAACTTCTGGCAAAACGTGAAAAAGACCATTTTTAACTGCCACAAATATATAAGTCAAACTGAAAAAGATACAAGTTAAAACTGCAAGGCAAGAACACTGCCTCAGTCCTCACTCCCACCCTTTTCCCCATTATCCTCCTGAGGTCTTTGCAGCCAGTAATTTTAATGTTGCTTCTGAGAGTGACTCCCTCTGCTGCTCTGGAAAAGCCATGACCTAAATCAGAAAAGCGCTAAACTCAGTTAAGGCCTAATAGAGCACATTCTTGCCATTTGTATTAATTGGAGAATCTCATATACATTAGAGAACAGTTATTTTTAAGTCTCAACAATAATTCTGAATGAACTAAGAGGATTTGCCTAGTAGAGTTGATGCCTAGTTCATGTCCTTAGGGGATTTGCTTAAAATAGATCAGTATGAATTCCTATCCCAACATTCCAACTACCAGCTTCCAAATTACTATGGGCCTTGTTTTATTTAACTGAATCCCTACTATGCAGAATACGAAAGGCTAGAGGGTCAATAAATGTTCATTGTCATATAGTGACTTCTCACTGTTCTTAATACTTGAAAATTTGTTCTTGGAACCCTTTAAACATTCCCTAAGCTAGAACATGCAATTATTTTTTTAAAACAAAAATGAATTAACCTTTTTTTTTTCCCCTTACCACATTTAAATGGAAAGTTATATGGAGAATTTTTAATGAAACTGAGTTACTTTCAATGACAATTGCCATTTGCTCCAAACCAATATGCGTAAATGCATGGAAGTCATTTTTGTAATTTGTAGGAAGTAAAGCAGTTTTTTGTTTTGTTTTGTTTTGTTTAGCATTATAAATGAAGTTAAGATAATAGGGAATTATGCCATATGATCAGAGTCTTCAGAAATTTTCTGTTCTGAGTTTGGTGTTTTTAACCTCCTAACTCTAGTTGGTGGTAGATAAGCAGCACATCAATGCTGTATAGCCCAGAAGTAAAAATACATTTATAAAACAGGAGGGCACTAATTCTAAGGCATAGCTAATCTGTCACACACACACACACACACACACATTCCCTTTTCTTAGTAAAATCTTTCATTCTTGGAAGTCAGAAGCACCACAATTCCCTGGAGCTAGGAGTTCCCAGCAACCCTGAATGAAACAATTAGGAGAGAGCTGTTGCCTGAAGACCAGAGAATGTCCCAAAGACCTGTTTAAAGTGACTGCTGTCTTTCTTTATAGCAGTTACAAAACTCAATACATTCACGAATAACACCCATTTTATTTTTTATCTTAAACCTCTATTGTTTTCCTGGCCATCTCTGAAGAGAGATACATTTTTTTAAAAGTTAGAATTTTGTGCTACTTCTCCAACAACAGAATAAACATCTCATTCACATTGCCATGTGCTAAAATTCACTTTTACATCTTAAAATTGTAAGTGTCTTCATTCATAAACATATTTAATCCCCATCTTTAAGTCCTCAGCACATGAAAATCATACTTGAGGAAACAACAATCTCCTTCCTGGTCCCCAGTGTTCTAATCCAAACAGAGAAAAGAATAAATTTGAAGGAAAAAGGAGGTCAAACAAATCATAAAATGTGTGATTCTGACAGTGTACTAGTAGTTCAATAGTAAGCAGGAAAGGGGATGGGGGTAGAGGAGTAGATTAAAATGGTGATGAAAACACCTGGTAGCTGATAGTAGAGTTTGGTGCTCTATACTTTCTTTGAAACCTAGTAGAGAACACAGGAAAAGCTGGTATCCATGAACATGGAGGATAACACAGATAAAAATGGTGAAATACTGCATTTCAGAGACCTTTTGATACACATATACATGAATAGCTTTATTCATCAGGAACTGAAGGAACTATATAAACTAAATGGAAAATCTGCACTGAAATGCACGCACCAGACAGAATACACTTTATTTTTCCTCCAGAAATCAGAAGAGCAGGTCAATCTTCAATTCAATCTTTGGTTTACCTGGTTTATGGTGGGGGGGGGGTGATACAGAGGGCAAGAGACAAACGCTCAGTGCCTCTATCCTGAGAGTCTTTTCTTTTAATCTCTTCTCCCTTCTTCTTTCAATATTAATCCACTTACAATCTCCTGTTTGATTATCTTTATTGATCTTTTTTTGCCTACTCAGTCTTTTTAATTCGGCTGCTGTAAGCTCCCGGCAGGGATCCTATCTCCTGTTTGGCATCTTTGGGGACTTTTAACTTGTCCTTTTCCCAAACAATGATCTCACCCCTCCCACATGCTATCATCACCTCTCAGTTCCTTGTGCGCCCAATAACAGCAGGCTGATTCCACTGGGAGTCACATGGCTGATTCCAGGACTATTCATCAGGTTGCTCACTTAAGCTTCCAAACACTGGTCTAAGCACTCTCAGCTGCTGCCCTGGGAACTTCTAAGTATTTCAAGAAATCTACAAATAGTTCATAAGATTCTCAATGCAGACTCCTTTGTAAAATGGACAGATGAGCTCTGGAAGTGTATAGAAGAAAATCAGGGCAGAACCTCAGGGATGGGAGGCATGTGGGAAGAAAGGAAGGAAGGATTTATGAGCGTGGCCACTTAGCAGGGCAGCAGGAAAATTTACTCCGGAAGTAGCTATTGCTAATTGACAAAGCCTAGCTAATCACTTACCTCCTCACCCTGGCCACACTCGCCTTGACTTGGTGCTCCCCTCCACCTCTAACGCCTCCCCGCCCTCAGCGCCTGTAAAAGGGAATACATTTGGGAAACGCCTGATTGTCTGAGCATCACTAAGAGAGTTGGGGCTACCACCGCTCCTCCTCCGCTCTCCAAATTTGGAAAGAAGAAAGTGTAACTGAGATGAGGGGGTCCCTGAATTGCCTCAGAATGCTGCACAAGCTTACTCCACATTGCCAGGAAAACCTGAGCTTCCTACCATGAGCCAATGACCACCACAAAACCAAGCAAAAAGATCCAGATGGGCTCTCAGCTTGGCCACAGATTAAAGGCCCAGGTGACCGGAGAGAGACTCGGGAGGGGCCAGCGTTGGCGCTTTGCTCCCCCTCTCCCTTCCATTAGTCTTCCCGGGCACAGAAGGCTGGGAGCCGCCGCTACCACTTCAGAGTAGGGGGCAAGAAGGGTGCCGAGCGATCAGCCCAGAGACTCTTCACCCACCTCCAACTCCCGCCCGCTCTGCTCCCTATCCTGGCTTTCCCCAAAGCCCAGGCACTTTTTTTTTTTTTTTTTTTTTTAAAAAGAGCTCAGATGCATTGAATTAAAATGTCAAAGTTATAAACTAGCCAGCCACCACGAGGAGTGTCGGATTTGGTTTGAAAGACCAGCCCTTATCCCCAGACCTCCGGGATTTTAAGCTTCTCCGTCTCCTTTTGGGAGGTGGTCACGGAGAGCATATGCGTGAAGAGGCAAGCACACTCCCGGCCTGCCGCGAAGAGCGGACCTGGGTCCCCATGGGTAGTGTATTTCCACAGTGGCCAGAACGGCAGCCGAGGGGACACGGGAGCTTTTGGGTCCTTGGCCTTACTGGATACTTTTCCTTAGCTGAATGCCCTTAGGCGTCAGTCGTGCTCAGAGACGCACTGAAGATCCCGCAACCCCAGAAGTGGCACAGCGCGGGGATCCTTTGCGCACCGCACGATCATGGAGCATCTAAGGTTTCCACACAGCCACCCTCGCCGACTGTCTCTCCAAACCTCTCTGTGTACAAAATGCAACAATGTTCGCGTGCGGAGCAGAAAGTGCAAGACACCCAACTCGCCCATATGCCCAGAGACAGATGCATGTCCACACCCCGTTCGTCCCTGGTCCATCCGTGCACATCTCGGAAGATGGATTTTTAAAATAAGAATAATCAAAGCTTCTTGACTAGTTGGGAAAGTGTGAAGTGGTTTCCAGTTGAGAGTAGCGCGGCAAATTGAGGAAGCCAGGAGAACTGGGGAAGAGGAAAGGAAGAAAGAGGGAAGGAAGAAGCTAAGGGAGGTGGCCACGGAGCCTGGCGGACCCCCTTACCTTGAGCGGCCGAGCCGGTGCCGCTGGCGCTGAGCAGGGCCAGTGCAGGTAACACGAGCATTTGCAGCACGTATCCCAGTCCCAGTCCGCAGCGGGCCGCTGTTGCCCGCAGACCTTTCCTCATCGTCGACAGAGGTGTGCCGGGGGGAGCAACACGAAGACACGCGCAAACAGCGGAAAGCCCACTGGGCAGCTGCTGAATCCGTGCACTGCGAAGCAGTCACAAGAAATAACGATAACCAAGAGCCGCACTCCACTTTCTCCAAAGGCAGGGGCCAAAAGAGATGGAGAGGGGACGCCTTGGAGGAGTTTGAAGGTTCCTCTTTCCCTGTGCCTTCTAACTGGTGTCTCCCGCGAGCGGCTGCTCTGCCCCCACTTGGGAAGTCCGGGGAGGCGCAAGGCGACCACCACCGCCGCTCCTCCTAGAAGCAGGAGCAGCCGCAGCTCCGCCGCGCGCTGAGCCTGGACTGCTCTCCGGGTCCCCTCGCCTGAACAGAACACACACAGGCATGGGGGTGGGGGGAGAAATGGGAGGAGGGAGCAGAAGGAGGGAGATTGGGCACAGTGAGGCGCTCCCGTCTCCAATCTCTGTTCTCACGCCGGCGGGGAGGCGTCCTGGCTGTCCCTGCTGGGTGGCCAAGGAGGGTCACCTCCTAGCGGGGGGCGCAGGGTTGCCAGACACGGCAGAGGCAGGGTTCTTGGAGGGGGCGTGTAGGGCGCAGCCCAACACAGCTGAGGGTGGCGGCGGCGGGAGCGCGCCCGCCCTGTTATGTAAGTGAGGGTCGGAGGGAGATGCACACCTAGCGCTTGAGGTGGAGAGGAGCTGCCTGTTTACTCGAGGAAGCCGGGGCAAGAGAGATCCACGGAAAAAGGCAGCTGCGGAGATTCCGAGCGCGCCTGCCGCTCGGGTGCATAGGCCACGGACTAGGAGCGTCGCGTTCGTGCTGCTGGCCACTAGTCTGTGTTCGGTGTAGCTCAGCCTGCCGGCCGCCAGCTTCTTCACTGCGCGGGCAAAGCCTGAGAAAGACTCCCCAGGACTGAACTCGCTGTGCAGCTTTGGGTCTTGTGGTTGATTAAACTGGTTGCGGCTGGAGCTGAACTCCTGCGTTGTGGGGCAGAAGGCAGGAAGCTTTTGTAGTGTCCCAGCCCGCCACTGCCTTGGGGTTGTCAGTGCCACGCAGACAGCTTTATACCTTGGGCGCCTATGACTTCTCTGCAGTGGAACCGAAACTAAAAGCTTGATGGAAACTCATTCTTCAATAGTGTTTTCTTTGCGTGCTTCTTGGTGGCTGGCAAGGTTGAGTATGTAAAGGGAGGTGAGATGATACTGAGAGAAACTCTCCCTGAAACAATGCACAACAAAATTTGTAGATAATCACTTTAAGTGATGGTGGAACCAATGACATGCTTTCCAAATTAACTGAAGAAAGTAAAGACTCAAATTATTATGAAATATTTACCTTTCTCTGGGAAAAATTGGGTAGTTAAGTATCTGGTCTAATGAAGAAGGAGGAGTGTAAGAATGGGTAGGTAAATTAAGGAAAGGCTAGACAAAAGGAAATGAATGGATTAGTAAAAGTGAATGTTGCACAGCCAATATTCTGGGAAGAAAAATACAACTTCCTAAGATTAGAACGTTTCTAAACTAATAATAATAATAATAATAAATCAGAGAAATTTTAAGTTTTGGTGCCAAGTGGAACATGTGTACACAGACATCCACACCCACATCCCCACACCAGAATAGAGGTTTGATATTGACTATGGTCATAACTCACTCTGTCACCCTGGACAGGCCAGGTAACTTTTGTATGTCTCAGTTTGTTCATCTGTGAAATATTTTACTTAAATGATTTCAAAATTGTTTTCAATTCTTCCATTCTATGGTCTGTCCACCCAGCTCCAACAAACTCCTTGGCTCAACCTGATGGCTCTGAAAAGTTCCTGCTGGTAAAGACATTAACAAAACTGGTTATGTCCTGTGTCCACGGAGGCTTTGCCTGCCGTGCTAAAAATCTCTTCTTCGCCTTTTTCTTCTCCATACTGAGAAATAGAATGATACTGTGATAAATAGAATGATACTGTGATAAGAGGCTGGTTTCTGGCACCAGACTGCCTTGGTTCAATTCTTACAGATTCCGATTACATGCAACTGATATTCATGAGGTAGGTGACTCAATTTCCTAATCTGCAAAATGGGTCTAATAGCACTATGTATCTCAGAAGGTTAATATGAAGGCTAAATGAGCTAAACATATGTAAAATGCCTTGTGCATTGTTAGCTGCTATTCTTTTCACTGATGAAAATATTTCCATAAACCTCATTTTACCTAGACCATTGCTGTGCAGTAGGATTTTTTTGTGATGAGGAACATGCTCATAATAATGCTTTCCAAAATGGTAGTTATTACACATATGTGGCCATTGAGCACTTGCAATGTGGCTATTGTGAGTGAGGAATTGAATTTTTATTTGTATTTACTTTAATTAATTTAAATGTAAAGAGCCACAAGTAGCTAGTGGCTGTGATATTGGGCAGTGCAGATATGTTGTTGTTGTTGTTGTTGTTGTTGTTGTTATTTGCCAGTGCAGATATAGGCTACTCATAACCTGTCAATTATTTGACAATTACAGAAGCAGAAGAGATTATGATTGTATTTCATATTTGTCTTTACAGTTTTTCCAGGAAGGACAGAAGCTTAAACAGGACAAAGCAAACACACACTCATATTTACTATTGTATTAACCAAAAAACCCACTGCCATCGAGTCAATTCTGACTTGTAGAGACTCCTATAGGGTTTCCAAGTCTGTAAATGTTTACAGAAGCAGACTGCCTTATCTTTCACCCATGGAGCGGCTGGTGGATTCAAACCACTGACCTTTTGGTTAGCAACCCAATGCCTTAACTACAGCACTACCAGAACTCCTATTGTATTAACAGCATCTAAAATTTACTCATTTACAATTGTATTGTCAGTCTTTTATAACTAGAATATAACTCTTTTAAGGAAGTGACTTTGCCTTGTTCATTATTCTATACTTGGCTCCTAACACCGAGTGGTTTCAGATAGCTGGTGCTCATTCCATATTTGTCGTTTGATTGACAAAAAGAATAAAGAATCCTCAAAGTCTAGATCAGTTAAGTAAGGTCCAATTTGTCATGTAATTGGCACATTGAAGTGCTCAGTGGCAGATATTACATGAAATTAATACCTTAAAAGAGAGAATAAAACAAAAGAATATCAATACTGATATTCAGCCTAAAGAGGGCAGGAGAATGGTTTGAGAAATGGTATGTAGATATGATGTGGAAAAGGAAAAGGACAGTGAGCGCACAAGAGTGAAGGCAGGAAAAGTATCAGCAACATAACTCAGCTTATCAAGCAGGTGGGTTTCCTACAATCTGTGGTTGCAGATGGATCTTGTGAATTAATTAATCTACTGCCTGGTTTTGTTGACTGTTATATTTCTTCTTCATGGAAGAGATATGATTTTTCTCAATAAGAAAGAAGAGTGACATAGACTTCTCATTTATGCTTGCTAACTTATTTCCTTTAGATCTAGGCTCAAAGCTAAGAGGCCTTTCCTAACCAACATACCTAAAATAGTACTCAGCCCATCACCCTCAACTGCTTTGCTTGCAGTTGATTCATGTAGCACTTGTTTATATACAACTAAGTATGCATGCATGTACACTTAGGTATGCATGTGTGTATATACAGGAGTATGTGCATGTATGTGTATATCTCCTCTTCAATAGAATGTATGCTTCTCAAGGGTAGGATTTGATTTCCTATCACATTCACCACTCTATACCCAGAACCTAGAATAGTGCCTGACAAATATTGTTTTTGTTAGGTATCATTGAGTCAATTCTGACTCCTAGTGACCCCACATGACAAAGCAGAACTGTCTCATAGGATTTTCTAAGCTGTAATATTTACAAGAGAAGATCTCCAGGTCTTTCATGGAGAATCCCATAAATTCAAATCAGTGACCTTTCAGTTAACAGCCGACCATTTAACCATTCTCCCTTAAGGTCTTATAGTAACTGATCATTAAACATATATTGAATATTTAGTGAATGAATGACAGTCAGTAGATTTTAAGACTAGTTAAGTCTTGAATTAAAATAGTAAAATATTAAAAATATATATATTTTTTCAGTTGTAAATAGGATTTTGTAGTTGATGAATAAAATCAAGATTGGAGAGATTTTCACCAAAAATTAATCTGAAGATGACTTTTTTTGGAGTTGGAATACTGCAGGTGTTTAAAGAACAGACATGAAATTCATCTCATTTTGAAAAAATAAGAAGCTTCATTTAAATCCATATACAAGGGCTTCCTTATTCTTGGCTGCAGTGAGTGGAGAATTAACTCTGGGATAATAAATCCCAGTGACAGGTGCTAATGGGAATTAAGCATGCAAATCCCCTGCATATCCCTCCAGAAATCTACCCCAAGAAAACTACATGTAGGGTGCTTAGTAATAATATTACTTACTTTAAACTAGTATGGAAAAAGAGTGTCCAGCTTAAGACTTAAGAACTAAAGAAAAAACAACTGAAAATGTCTATTAATTATAGAAATAATATTTATTTCATTTTGTCTCTCTCCTTATATGTTTGATTAGCCATTTTTTACATTGTTTAAAAATGAATCTTCATATGAGATATATTATTAACTAGCAACATAGGAGGATTTAAAAGAATGAAGAGTATGGTGTTGAAGAAAATCTCTATTCCTAACTAAGGTTTAGAGAAAGAGAAACAGCAGGTAACCTTACTGCTAGACATGAACTAAGGAGAACCAGATGGTCCAGATTCAAGTGGTTAATCCCCCTCTTTTACCTCAGCCCCCAGAAGGGAATTTGGCCTGCCCTAAACCTATGAAATTTTGGGGTTTATGCTTTTTATTAAATATATTAGACAACACTCTTTTGGTTGCAAGTGATAGAAATGCACCTCAAACAAGCTTAAGCAAAACAGAGAATGCATTGCTTTCCACAACTCCAGAGCTATAGATAATCATAGCAGCATTAATAATGGGTAATATTTATTGGATCGCTATGAGTCGGGGCTGACTCAACGGCATACAACAACAACAACAACACAATATTTATTGATCACTCACTGTGTGTCAGGCACTGTTCTAAGCTCTTTACATGTGCTATCTCATTAATCTTCACAATACAGATTAAAGGAAAATACTCCAAAGGAAAGAAATGCCATTACTATCTCAATTTCATACATGAGGAAAGTAAGACTAGATGGTTAAGTAATTTTGCTGAAAAACAGCCCCTTGTAGATTGCTTTTTTCATTAATTAACTGGAAGAATTGAGTTCCATTCTATTCAATTCAACTTTCACTTAACCACCGATATAATTAAGATACTGCTCCAGGATCACTGGAAAAGAACATGAGTGAGTAGTAGTCCTTGGGCACCAAAGACTTAGAGTCTCAC